CACCCAGCACTGAGATGCAGCCACCTCTGGGATAGGATGTGGCAGCTGTTTATACAAGGAGCCTTCACCCAGCACTGAGAGGCAGGCACCTCTGGGGTAGCACGTGGCAGCTGTTTATACAAGGAGCCTTCACCCTGTGCTGAGGTGGGGTGCAGCCACCTCAGGGGTGGGGCATAGCAGCTGTTCATGCAGGGAGCGCGCCGACAGCACTGAGATGCAGCCACCTCTGGGGTGAGGAGCAACAGCCATGTGTGCAGCTGCATAACGCTGCATGCCAAGTTAGGACAGGAAGGGAAGGAGAAGGCTGTAACCGGCTGAAAGTGCAGGAGACGTTTAAGGATGCAAATTGGAATCACCCGCCTGAGAATTGGGGCTGGACACTGGGGCTAGCCCCCCAACTCTTGGGGGACGGGCATGGGGATCGAAGGAGCTCAGGACCCCATTCGTACATCTCCCTCGACAGATGGATGGCTTTGTCCCGGAGCACCGGGGCCAGCAGGACTGCAAGTGAGCGCCTCCCCCCTCTCCACGCACCAGGCCCCCCCGACACTGATTGAGGGCCACAGGGACTGAAGGGAGAGCGCCCCCTACCGGGGCACCCCACTTTGCTCCCTAGCATTGCACTGGGGCCAGCAGCACTGCCAGGGGAGCCTCCCCCCGCACAGAAGCAGCCCAGCTTGAGAGAGCACCTAGGAAGGTGAGCAGGCGGGAGGTTGCAAGACAACAGGCTACTGCATTGAGACCTGCTGAAATGCCCCAGTGCAAAAACATATCCCTGACAGCTGACTGTGACCCCCTCTCAGCCAAGCTGCAGGCAACAGCCCGCTGCCCTAAACTGTTGTAGGAAGTGGTGTGAGTGCTGCACTCCGCCCCAGAAGCAGCTGCATTTCAGCCACAGGAAAACTCATTGAGGCAGGACACCTGGGTTCTATTCCTGGCTGGTCACACCCCCATTGTGTGCCTCAGTTCCCCCTCCCTTCCTTTGTCCATTTAGGCCCAGCTCCTCAAAAAGAACTTGGATGCTTAATTCGCATGGCCAGGGGCTGGGCCTAAGCTCTGGGGGGGGGGGCAGGGCTGTCCCTCACCCTGCATATGTACCGTAATACACCGAATAGCAACCACAAACCCTCCCACCCACGCTCCGCCAGGCCTTGTGTTTTCAGAGGTTCTCTCTTTTTATTTAAAGAAAGAGTAACCAAGCGGGCCAAAGTCCTTTTTAGAGCCCTCCCTTTACAGGGGGGAAGGTCATATAAATATATAGCCCCAGACTAGGCAGAAGGTTCAGGAGTTTAAGGTCACTTCCCCTTTAAACTGGGATTCCCACGAGCTGGGTTCCTGGTCCTAGAGAGAAGTGGTAAAGCTCACCGCACGTTATTGGAACAGCCTCAGATTGTGAGGGGAACTAACGGGCTGGTTAGTTACATTCATCTGGATATGGGGGTGTGTGGGGGGAGTCTGGTGCAGCCCTTGGGATGGAAGGTGATTCAGGGCAAGCTGCCTCTCCCCTTTGGGCGATAGATGCCAGCCCTACCCCGGAGAGGATATTAGATTTGTTTTTCCCCTGCCTCCCGGCTGAGTTTGCCCGCAGAGCGGCAGCTCTTCTGACCCTTTCCCACTGGGCTGCAGCCTCCCAAAGCTGTATGGCACAGGACCACCCCGCCCCCGCTCAGGCAGCCGGCTAGAGCCGAACGGTTCCTGCGCTCCGGACCGCAGCGTCCCGAGCCATCCACGCCCCGGCCCCGGGCTGCAGCTGGGAGCCAAAATGACCAACACGGCCCCAAGGCTCGGAGAGTTCCAAGGGAAGGAAAGGCCGCCCCGGCTTGGGACACCTACTCCCCCGAGCTGTGCCCTGCAACGATGGGGACGCCCCAGCCACGGTAGGATTGTCCCCTCCAGTTATAAGTCAATAGGGCTTCTACGCTTTCCGCTGGCTGCTCCAGCGCCTGTGTGCTCCAACCCTTGGGAAGTTTGAGTTTGTTTTTTCCCCCAGGCGTCCTGAGATATTAGGACCTGGGAGGCTCTGGGGAGAGTCCGGCCTCAGTCCCGAGGTCGCTGGACTTTGGATGCACGGACTGGACGCTCCCATCCAGGCAGCCTCTGATTGCACCGTCTCTCTACCGGTCTTATATGGGTTCCTGAGCAGGAGTTGGGCCGTCGCCCTCCAACGGGGCTTCCGTCTCCTCTCCCTTCAGCTTGTAAACGAAGCAGCTGGAGCTGCAGTGGGATTTGAGGGACGCCGAGCGGATCTGCTGGGGGCGGCTGTCCCCCGCCAGGAGGCGGGAGGTGCTGTCCGTCACCAGGAAGAGACCATAGGCCTCCGGGTTGGAGACACCATATTTCTTGCTGCATATCACGCACACTGAGGCCGCTGTCATGTGGGCGGGGACGGGGATGGCCTTCTGGTTCGCGAAGGGCTCTTGGAAGGAGACGTAGAAGATGTCCTGAGAGAAGGAGAGGGGGAAAAAGATAAATCGAGCAGACCAGAGGCTATGGTGATGGGCACCCTGTACATACCATAGATTACAGAGAGAGTGGGTAGGGCGCTGGACTGGGACTTGCAAGATCTGGCTCTATTCCTGCGGAGTGATCTTGGACAAGTCCTGTCCCCGTTCTGTGCCTCAGTTTCCCCTCCCACCCTTTGTCTAGGTGGGAGGTGCTAAAGGAGCACTCAAGGACGATAAGGCCATGGCAGAGAAACTAAATGAATTCTTTGCATCGGTCTTCACGGCTGAGGATGTGAGGGAGATTCCCAAACCTGAGATTCCCAAACCAGATCTGAGGAACTGTCCCAGATTGAGGTGTCATTAGAGGAAGTTTTGGAACAAATTGAGAAATTAAACAGCAATAAGTCACCAGCACTAGATGGTATCACCCAAGAGTTCTGAAGGAACTCAAATGTGAAATTGCAGAACTACTAACTGTAGCTTGTAACCTATTATATAAATCCGCTTCTGTACCAGATGACTGGAGGATAGCTAATGTGACGCCAATTTTTAAAAAGGGCTCCAGAGGAGACCCCAGCAATTACAGGCCTGTAAGCCTGACTTCTGTATCAGGCAAACTAGTTGAAACTATAATAATGAACAATATTGTCAGACATATAGATGAAGATAATTTGTTGAGGAAGAGTCGACATGGTTTTAGTAAAGGGAAATCATGCGTCACCAATCTACTAGAATTCTTTGGGAGTCAACAAGCATGTGGACCAAGGGGATCCAGTGGAGATAGTGTACTTAGATTTTCAGAAAGCCTTTGACAAGGTCCCTCACCAAAGGCTCTTAGCAAAGTAAGCTGTCATGGGGTAAGAGGGAAGGTTCTCTCATGGATCAGTAACTGGTTAAAAGATAGGAAACAAAGGGTAGGAATAAATGGTCAGTTTTCAGAATGGAGAGAGGTAAATAGTGGTGTCCCCCAGGGGCCTGTTCTGGGCCCAGTCCTATTCAACATATGCATAAATGATCTGGAAAAAGGGGTAAACAGCGAGGTGGCAAAATTTGCAGACGATACAAAACTACTCAATAGTTAAGTCCCAGACAGACTGCGAAGAGCTACCAAAGCTGGGTAACTGGGCAACAAAATGGCAGATGAAATTTAATGTTGATAAATGCAAAGTAAGGCACATTGGAACACATATTCCTAACTATACATATAAACTGATGGGGTCTAAATTAGCTGTTACCGCGCAAGAGAGAGATCTTGGAGTCACTGTGGATAGCTCTCTGAAAACATCCACTCAATGTGCAGCGGCAGTCAAAAAAGCGAACAATGCTGGGAATAATCAAGAAAGGGATAGATGATAGGACAGAAAATATCATGTTGCCTCTATATCAATCCATGGTACGCCCACATCTCGAATACTGCATGCATATGTGGTCGTCCCATCTCAAAAGGATATACTGGAATTGGAAAAGGTTCAGAAAAGGGCAACAAAAATGATTAGGGGTATGGAACGGCTTCCGTATGAAGAGAGATTAATAAGACTGGGACTTTTCAGCTTGGAAAAAGAGACGGCTAAGGGGAGATATGATTGAGGTCTATAAAATCATGACTGGTAGAGAAAGTAGGTAAGGAAGTGTTGTTTACTACTCATAACACAAGAACTAGGGGGTCACCAAATGAAATTAATAGGCACCAGGTTTAAAACAAATAAAAGGAAGTATTTCTTCACACAACACACAGTCAACCAGTGGAACTCCTTGCCAGAGGATGTTGTGAAGGCCAAGACCATAACAGGGTTCAAAAAAGAACTAGATAAATTCATAGAGGACAGGTCCATCAGTGGCTATTAGCCAGGATGGGCAGGGATGGTGTCCCTAGCCTCTGTTTGCCAGAAGCTGGGAATGGGTGACAGGGGATGGATCACTTGATGATTCCCTGTTCTGGTCATTCCCTCTGGGACACCTGGCATTGGCCACTGTCGGGAGACAGGATACCGGGCTAGATGGACCCTTGGTCTGACCCAGTAGGGCCGTTCTTATGTTCTTTTGTCTATTTAGACATCCACTCTTTGGAGCAGGAGCTGCCTCGGACTGTGCAGCGCCCGGCACGACAGCAGCCCCATCTCAACTGAGGCCTCTAGATGCTACCGTAATACACCTAATAACCAACCACTGGTGGATCAAGAGAAAGACAGTCAACCATCCGAGGCAGCCGTGACTAACTCATTAACGTTTACAAACTTGATAACTTTACATAGAGTGAAGCTTTGTTACTTGGCTTTTCGTCATCACCATTCTCTCTCTGAATAAGGGTGCTGTGCCTTTAAGAAGGCGGGGCTCTACGACCCTGACTCCTGGGAGGAGCTGTGTGTATATAAACAAGGCCAGACACATGGCTGGTAGCTACACTCAAATTCAACTCTTCGGGCCCGCCTCTCGCTGGGCTGCTCATATAAACAGGATGGCGGGAGAGGCTAAAACTCAGACCCCTCTGTTCCCAAAGCACTGGCGATGAAGGAGAATCTCCCTTAGCTTTTCGTGTTGGGTCTATGACACACGCACAGCTGAGCACTTCCATCTCCGTGCGGAGGGGGAAGAGGAATGCCGCATAGACAGGCGCGACTGCTCATTGCAACACCCAGAAGCCCGTTAGTCCATCCAGACCCAAGGGCTTCCCCAAAATATGGGTCTGTAGAACGCTGGACTCTGAACCTGTCACTCCGGTTTATGGGCAAGCAGCAGAACTACATGGCGCCGATCAGCCCCAGAGGTAGGGGGCACCGCCCATCCGGAGTACAAAGTTATTAGCTCGCTTATATACATGTTCTGAAACACAATGAGAACCCACTTCTCCGTAGTATTAAGCACTTTGGGACTGGTTCATTGGGATCTCAGATTGCCAGTTCACGCACCTGCTGCGCACAGCTCACTCTCCTCCTGTCTTCTTCCCTACTAGCTACGCATTTGACACGTTCCCAAGGCGACCGTGAATTCATGCTTTCGTTCCTTGCTCAGAATAAACCCATGACCCCATTTTTTCCACAGATGGGGAAACTGAGTCACAGAGAGGCGAAGGGACTGACCCCAAAGATCACCCAGCAAGTCAGGGCCAAAGAACCCAGGCTCCCTGTACCCCCTGTTGTAACCAGTAGACCATGCTACCCTCCTAGACCCAGCGATAGAACCCAGGAGTCCTGACTCCCAGCCTTCCCCCGCTCTAACCACTAGACCCCACTCTCTTTGCAGAGCTGGGCATAGGACCCTGGAGTCCTGCCCCCCAGCCCCCCCCGCTCTAACCACTAGCCACCCCCGCCAGAGGCAGGTAGAGAACCCAGGCACCCCCCGAGCCCCCCTTAGAACGGTGACCTCCCCGGAGCAGCGGACCCTACCTGGGAGCGGCGCCGGCTGTGTTGGTTGTGGTGGATAGTGCGCCGGCGCTGCCACCGGTGGATGGAGTCCTGCGCTTCGATGCTGATCTGCCGGGTTACCATGGCTGACTGGAAGTTGCTGATGTGGTAAAGAGCCCCGAACCAGGTGGTGAGGTAGTAGCCGCCTGCAGGAGAGAGGGAGGAATGCGGGGCTCAGACGTCGGGGGCCCGTGGGCATGCCCGTCGCCGGTAGGGGCTGGCAGACAGAGAGGATAAAAGGCCTACTACTACTGCCGGCGAGGGGAGACCCCCTCTACAGTCTCCATGGCCTGTTTGCTTCTCACTCGCTGTCCTGAGCTGCAAGGCAGCCGGGTAGCGCCAGCTTCCCCGCCAAGCCCAGCGAGACCCCACAAACTCAGCTCAGCCAAGGAGCCGTCGGGGGGCTGCCCAGGCACTGCTCGACCTCAGCGCCTGGCTCCCAGCCCCATGAGCCACCGGGTCGGCCAGCCCGGCTGCAGGCTCACCCCTAGCAGGGGCGTCCAAGGGCAGCCTGCAGGTCCCCAGCCCAGCTGGGGAAGGACGGGGCCAGGGCTCTGACCTTCTCCCTGCAGCTGGCTGGGGTCCAGCAGCTCCATCATGTACTCCACGTCCAGCTGCACCGAGACGATGTCGCACTTCACCAGGACGTAGGTCAGCACCGGCAGGAAGTCGTCCGCCCCGTAGACCTCTGAGCAGAGAGAGACACGTGGTGAGAACGCCCCCCGTGGGGCCAGTCCCAATCCCCTGGGGGGGCTCGATCCCCCCCCCCCCCGCAGGAGCCAGTCCCAATTCCCTGGGGGGCTCGATCCCACCCCCCCGTGGGGCCAGTCCCAATACCCTGGGGTGGGGGCGATCCCCCCCCCGTAGGGGCCAGTCCCAATCCCCTGGGGGGGCTCAATCCCACCCCCCCCGTGGGGCCAGTCCCAATACCCTGGGGGGGCTCGATCCCACCCCCCCGTGGGGCCAGTCCCAATACCCTGGGGGGGCTCGATCCCACCCCCCCGTGGGGCCAGTCCCAATACCCTGGGGGGGCTCGATCCCACCCCGCCCCCCGCAGGAGCCAGTCCCAATTCCCTGGGGGGCTCGATCCCACCCCCCCCGTAGGGGCCAGTCCCAATACCCTGGGGTGGGGGGGACCTATTCCGTCCCCCCCGCAGGGGCCAGTCCCAATACCCCGGGGGGGGGGCCCCAATCCCCCCCCTGCAGGGGCCAGTCCCAATTCCCTGGGGTGGGGGCGATCCCATCCCCCCTGCAGGGGCCAGTCCCAATACCCCAAGTTACAGGATGTCCACAGTATCCCACACAATCCCCCCCGCCCTGAAACAGAGGCCCATCAAGGCTGGGGGCGGAGATGGCAGCTCAGAAACAATTCACAGGGGCAGGGGCAGACACGGCTGTCTCAGGGAGGGGGTAGGACGCCATCTTTGGGGGGTGGCGAAGTGGGTTCCCAGGTGGTAGCGGGGATTCCCCCGGAGCTGAGGGCAGGTTTCCCTGGCAGCCCTGGGCAGCCTCCCCTACCCTTGCCGCCCGTGCCGTGGTTCATGGCCTCGTAGATCAGCTTGCAGGCCTTGAGCAGCTGGGCCTCCTTCTTCTTGGGCGAGTAGGCCTGGTGCATCTGGAGCAGCTTGGCCTGGATGCGCTCGAGGGCCGGGGCGTCGGGGACGCTGGCCGTCACCCCCAGCTCCGCCAGGCTCTGGTGGCTCATGGTCAGCTGGTGATCGCGCAGCTTCTGCAGGCTCCCGTCCCGGCTGTGGAAGTCCAGGAGCTGCCCGTAGACGCAGTCCCGCAGCGGCTTCAGGACGCACTTGTACAGGGCCGCCTCCACCACGGAGCCTGTGGGGGGGATGGAGAGAGGGGGGCGGGGGGGTCAGGCAGGGGGTGTCCAGCACAGGGCAAGAGCTTGGGGGCTCCGGATTAGGAACCTCGTCTCCATTGGGCCTGCTACATGGGGGCTGGAGCCCAGGAGGGCAGAGGCAGCTGCAAAAGTGACAAGGGGAGTGGGGTCTAGTGGTTAGAGCGGGGGAGAGGGGCTGGAAGCCAGGACTCCTGGGTTCTCTCCCCAGCTCGGGGAGGGGGAGGGGAGTGCGACACCACACACCCCAACCCCAGAGCACTTTGTTCTCTCCGTTAAAGCATCGCTCACACCGAATGCCGCCCCGTCTTGTGGAGCTGGGACCCGTTTCCCGCTGCTCTGCCCGAGCCGCCTGGCTCCCCGGCCCTAGCACCAAGCTGTCCTCCCCCAGGAGTGGGGGGAGCCTCTGGCCCCCCCCCACAGCACCAAGGGCCCAGGCCCGGTTCCCCTTTAAGAGCTCTCCTCCCTTCCGCCCCCCCCAGCCCTCGGCTTCCTGCCCAGGCGCTCACTGACACCCCGGAGCAGGAGCGGATGTTGCAGCGGGCTGGGGGCGGTTTGACCACAGTGGCCTTTCCGGCTGCATTTATAGACAGCGCTTCTCTTCCTGGAGGGGCTATTTATAACCCCGGGGCGGGGGGGGGGGGGGGGGGCTACTAGCTTACCCGTGACAGGCTCCATCTTGGAGGGGGGGGAAAATCTATTCAGGGGCCCTTCCCCCCACCAATTGCCAGAGCCAACCAAGATTGGGTGCAGTCTGGGCAACCTTCCCCCCCCCCCAGGACATCTCACTCACCCCAACCCCAGCGATGCGCGGGGGGGGGGGAGA